CAAATTGTGCTGCTATAAACAGAGGTGCACATATGTCACTCAGAGATGTTTTAATTTGCACCTCTCAAATGACCAGTGGTGCTGAACACTTTTTCATAGGTTTATTGCCATTTCAACTTTTTTACCTGAGAAGTGTCTGTTCATTTCAGATGCCCATTTTTGGACTGAGTCTTTAAATTTGGGCGTCGGAATTTTTTATATATTCTAGATATTAGTTTTTTGAGGAATGGTTAGCAAAATGTTTTTCCCATACTACCATACTATGGGTTGTCTTTTCACTCTGTTAGTGGTTTCTTTTGCTGTGCAAAAGCTTTTTTTTTTTTTGTACTGGGGATCAAACTCACAACCTCACACTTGCCAGGCAGGTGCTTGTGCCGCTGAGATATATCCCTGACCTGTAAAAGCTTTTTAATGAGATGAGATCCCAAGACAGATGTGGTGGCACACACCTGTAATCCCAGCAGTTGGGAGGCTGAGGCAGCAGGATCCCTGTGAGTTTGAGGGCAGCCTGGGCTACAAAGTAAGTTGAAGGCTAGCTTGAACAGCATCATGAGACTCTGTCTCTAAAAGACCCCCCCAAAAAGATGAGATCCCAGTTTTTGATTCTTTGTGATATTTCCTGTTTTGTTCATAAAGTCTTTGCCTACACCAATGTCTTCAAAAGATCTACTTAGTCTTCCAGCAGATTAAAAACAAGTGTTCCTGTTTTTTGTTTTTGTTTGTTTTTGTTTTGTTTTTGATACTGGAAATTGAGCTCAGGACCTTGCATTTGCCAAGTAGGCATCTGTGCCACTGAGCTACATCCCTGGCCAGTGTTTCTGTTGTAATATTTAGATATTTTTATTTATTTGCTTATTTTGGTATTGGGGATCAAACTCAAGGCCTCACACTTACTAGGCAGGCACTTGAGCTGCTGAGCTAAACCTCCAGCCCAATATTTAGATCTCTGATCCATTTTTAGTTTAGTGCATGTTGAAAAATATGGGTATAGTTTTAGTCTTCATGTGCAAAGCCAATTTTTCCAGCACCATTCATTAAAGAGGCTATCTTTCTTCCAGGAAAAGTGTTTGGCTCCTTTGTCAAAGATAAGGTGGCTAAGTGTGTTTGGAGTTGTTTCTGCAACTTCTAATCTGTTCCATTGATCCTTGAGTCTGTGTTGTTTGTCTGCCAGTACCATGCTGTTTTTATCACAGTAGCTCTGCAGTATAATTTCAAGTCTGGTATTGTGATGGCCCTGCCTTGTCTTTGTTGCACAGAATTGCTTTTGCTATTCTAAGTCTCTTCTGGTTTCATATGAATTTTAGAACTGCTTTCTCTAAACTGTGAAATATGCTATTGGTATTGTGATCAGGATTGCATTAAATCTGTACAATTTTGGAAGTATGACCATTTTTACTGTATTGGTTCTTCCTACCCAAGAACAAGGAATATCTTTCCACTTTCTGATACCCTCTTCACAATGCTGTGGTTTTAAAGGTCTTTTACTTCGTTAGATTGTTTTCTAGGTACTTTATATTTCTTGGTTGCTATCGTGAAAGATATCACCAACAATTTAAAAGGGTAAATGGTTTATTTGGCTTATGGCTTCAGAGGATCCAGTGCAAGGTCAGCAGGCCGTAAGGCAGAAACATGGTGGCAGAAGGGAACAGCAGAGCCACGCTGCTTAAGCAGAGCAGGGAAACAGTGTGGACAGGAAGGGACCGGGGACCAGAACAGACCCCAAGATCATGACCTGTGACCCACCCAGTCACATCTGGAAGCTTGTCCTACTAATCTTCTAAGTGGTTCCCAAGACAAACGGTTAACTATCACATGGTGTGTAAGCAATTAGGGCTCGCCCAGTGTGTCCACTTAGAGAAGCTCTTGCCCCTGTTTTACTGCCCGATGGAAGGCCCTGAGGCTGATGAGTAGGAAGCTGATGTGCAGGGTGTGGGCCCTAAACGGTTTGCGGGGGAACACAGTTTGCTGTGCCACTTTTGTTTTTTGTTTTGTTTTGGTTCTTGAACCCAGTGAAACTATTTTCTCTTACATCGCTGCCCCACCCCACCCCCTCTATTTTTGGAGACAGGATCTGAGTCACTAAAATTACCCAGTTGGGCTCAGACTTGCGATTCTCCTCCTCAGCATCCCAGGAATTACAAGTGTGCATCATGACACCCAGCACTGTGCCACTTTTAATTGGAACCACACTGAGATTATGGAGTATGGAACCTAAGGGGAAGTTACAGGAAAATTCACAGTATCTGTGACTTCAGTGGACTCAGCATGTGTTGGGGGAACAGTAACGAAGGCCTGAATTCTACCACTTGCCTTCAGATTTATGGTTTACACTGGGAGGAGGAGGAGGAAACTGAAGGCAAAGAGCACTTACTCCCAGATTGGAATCTTTCCTTCTCCTCCTACCCCCATCCTGGGGATTGAGCCCAGGGGCGCTCCACCAGTGCCCTACATACCCAGCCCTTTCATTTTTTGACACAAATTCTTGCTAAATTGTCCAGGCTGAAGCTGGGCGTGATGGCACCACGAGTAATCCCAGCACGCAGGAGGCTGAGATAGGATCATTGCAAATTTGAGACCAGCCTGGGCCACAAAGTGAGCTCACGGTCAGCTGAGCTGCATAGCGAGACTCTGTCTCAAAAGACCAGAAAAAAAAAAATTGCCCAGGCTGGGCTCAAACTGTCATTTGCTTTTTGGATGAGTGATTGAAAGACAGATGACTAGAGTTTTATAATAGACAATTTTTTTTTTTATCGGTACCAGGGATCAAACTCATGACTGCTTCCTTGCAAGGCAGGCACTTAGGCCACTGAGCTCTAAATCCCCGGCCTTATAATAGACAATTTTGAAGATAGACTCTTTCAACTTATACGGAATGATTTTCAAGTCATTTTTAAGTGAAAAAAGCAGGATATAAAAGAACATATAAGAGAAATATAGTGCATGCCTAACATCCCAGCTGCTACTTGAAAAGCTGAGGCAGGAAGATCACAAGATCTAAGTCAATTTGGGCAACTTGGTGAGACCCTGTCTCAAAAAAGACAGGGTCTTAGGGCCTGGGGATTTAGCTCAGCGGCATAAGCGCCTGCCTTGCAAGCAGGCAGTCATGAGTTCAATCCCCAGTACAGATAAAACGGAAAAAGACAAAAAAAAAAAAAAAAAAAAAAAAAGACAGGGTCTCATGATATGGTTCAGGGTGGTCTTCAACTCACTGTGTAGCTCAGGCTGGCCTCAAACTTGCAGTGACCTTCCTGTCTCAGCCTCCCAAGTGCTGGATGAGAGGATGTGCACCATCAGGCCTCATATGAAACCCTGTTTTAAAAAGTAAAAGAAGCCAGACATAACTTGTCACCTTACTACTTTGTTTTTGTTTTTTTGGGTCTTTTTTGTTTTTATCAGTACCAGGGATCGAACTCACGACTGCCTGCTTGCAAGGCAGGCGCTTATGCCGCTGAGCTAAATCCTCAGCCCCCAACCTTACTACTTGGAAAGGCCAGGGTACAGGGATCATGACTTTGAGCCCTTTCTGAGCAACTCTATGACTTAATAAGATCTTGCATCATAATATGAAAAAGAAAAAACAAATTTTTAAGGATTGAGGCTGTAAGTCAGCATGTAAGCCCTAGATTCAGTCCCCAGTGCCACAAAAAATAAAAAATTAAATGTAGCTCAGTGCTTGATGCTTACCTAGCTCAGGTTCAATCCCCAGTTCAGACACACAAAACATCCAGAGAGCAACTTAGATGTAGGCAGCTGCGCCTACATGCACAGTGACGAGATGGGCGGGTCCAGTCCCGTGTGCTGAAAAGGGCCACGTTAGAACAGGGTCCTGTGAGGTAGGGTGAGGTGGGGAATATCCTGTTGCTCGGCAGGCAAGTCTAGACTGCAGAACAGTTTTTTGTTTGGTAAGTACAATTTTTTGGGGTCAGGACTAGGGATGCTAAGTACATAAATGGGTTTTTTCTTTCACAGTACTGGAGATTGAATCAAGAGCCTCTGCACTGAGCGACCTCCCTAGCCCTTTTTAGATTAAGTTTTGGGGCGGTCTTGGTAAATTGTCTAGTCTGGGCTCAATATGCGATTCTCCTGTCTCAGCCTCTCAAATGCTGGGATTACAGATGTGTGCCATCATGCCGAGCATGAAGGGTTGAGGGGGTTAAAGAAGGAACAATAATAAAAAAAGGAATAAAGCATAGTTTTGAGACAGAAAGGGAAAGTTGAATATCAACTATTTTTGTACTTACTAGCCAAATGTAGGACAATTTGAACATCAAAGAGATCACTTTTGTGTGTGTGGCAGCATGATCAGTCGAGTATTTCCATGCTCTGCAGAAGCATTCTGAAATACCTGGGGTAAAGTGTTACGCTGAACTTTTTCTTTTCTTTTTCTGCTTGGCGGTACTGGTGGTCGAACCCAGGGCCTGCGTACTGAGACACAGCCTCAGTCCTTTTTCGTTTGACTTTAGCGTTCTTGAGACAGGTTCTCACCATGTAGTTTAGGCTGGCCTCGAACTCAGCAGTCCTCCTGCCTCAGTTTCCCAAGTGCTGGGATTACAGGCGCCCAGCATCACGCCTGGCTTTTGTTTTGTTTCGTCTTTTGAGACAGACATGTCATTCCGTTGCCCAGGCTGGGTTCCACTTGTGATCTCTGCCTCAGCCTTCCACAATGCTGGGATTACACATGCGCATCATTATACATAGCTAAATCTGTTTTCATTTTGGCAAAATGGAGGGATGTGTGTAAAAGAAATGGAGTTAGTAAGACAAAACGTTAAACACACGAACAGTGAGAAGAGTGAGGCTGTAGTCATCAGCAGAGATGTTGCCTAGCACACCTGAGGTCCTGGGCTCCGAGCTCAGCCTGGGGCAGAGATGTGAACAGAGAATCCGTGGGAGACACACAGAGGTTGTCTATTTTGTTTTTGCAGGTTTGAGAATTCTCTATATTGTTTTAAACGTGGCAGGGGCTGAGGTTTGAGGCGGATTTGTGTGTCTTTTCCCAGATTTAAGAAATCCATGGTGAAAAGTTTGGATTCCTATGAGGAGAAAGAGGACGAGGTGATCAAAGAGGTGAGCCGAAGGAAAGGTCTGTGGCGTCCGACCCCGCAGGCAGGCCCGCTCAGCACCCTGTCTCCCACAGATGGCGGCTCAGATCCGGGAGGCGGAGCAAAGCCGGCGGGAGGTGGTCCAATCTGCCTTAGAGGTTGGTTCCCCTCGGAGGATCCAGAGCAGTATCCACACGCACTGATCCCTGGTTTCCCCAGGTCCAGCATTTCAACCACCAGCTCTTCTAAGAACTCAAGGACTCCGCTCCTCAGCTGCGTGCTGGAGCTCCCGAGCTGTCTGCTGGGCAGGCCTAGGCCGGGCAGGGGGGGCACGCGGGCCGGGCAGCACCGCTGAGGCCCTGGGGTGGGCAGTGAGGGGCGCGGCCTAGGCAGGCTCTGGAGTACATTAGACACATTTATTTTTCCTGAATCAAACTCAGCCTCAGACAGAGCCAGATCCAGAAGAGGGCTCTTCAGTACCTGGAAGCTGGAAAGGGACAAACAGGTAAGGCTGTCAAGGGACTCGCTGGAGTCTGGCGACCGTGTGGCTGGGAAATGGGTACAGAGCTACTCTGCCATCCTTGCGGTCAGAGCCTCATCTGCCAGCCTGGCTCGTTTGCCTTTCAGCCAAGTAGCCTGCAGTTCACAGCAGCCCTCATCCTTCGACCTGCCAGCGGCTCCAGAACTTGACTGGACGGAGCCCGGACAATCTCTGACATTCATCGGCCACCAGGTACAATGGAGAAGCAGGTCAGAGGAGGGCCTGAGGCCCAGGTCCACAGCAGTCCTCTTGGTGTCCTGCACTGAGCACCCCGTGCCCTCCGCAGGCTCCTTCTTCCTTATTCACATCTACCGCCACCACTGCCACACAGGACTGCCATACAGGACCTCAGTGTCCACAGGTCCTTCAAACCCTGCCAGCAGCCTGTTTCCAGCTGCCATGGATGCAGATCCTTAACCCATTTCTCACCACTGACTGCAGTAGTGGGAATCACACCCAGCGCCTTCATGCCGAGCTATGCCCACAGCCCTGTTTCAAATTTTGAAACAGGGTCTCAGTGAAACACTTAAAAGATGTTCAGGCTGGGTTTACATTTGTGACTGTCCTGCCTCATCCCATAGGTTACAGGTGTGTACCACTAGTTAACTCCCATGTGAATTCAGCCTCGGCATGATTTCTCCTCTCTCTTGCAATCCTGCCCTGCAGAAGCCACTGCAGCATCTGCCAGATCCTAGTGTCCTGACTTCCCAGCCCCGGCTGCCTCTCCTCCCTCCTCACCTTACCTTCCTTCAGCTCAAATGTCACATTCCCACCACTGTTGTTCCCTAGGCCATCCCTATAGACAGATACAGTAGCACATACAGCTTCTCATGTTGTAATGGTTGCTTATCTCTTCCCCAACTAAGTGCAGCCAGCCAGGGCAGGGCTGTCCCCATACACAGTGGGCACTACACTGGACACATCCACAGTGAAGACCATGAGCCAAGGCCAGGACTGTTTCAGTGACTGATCAGGGGTGCAGAATCACACTGAGGCAGTGTGATTCTGTTGTATCTACCTCCTTTAAAGTCTGCTTTGTCATTAGCCAGCATTCTATCTTTTGGCTTTCTTACGAAGGATTTCTTTTTCCCCCCATTTCCATTTCAGGATATGCCTGGAGTTGGTAACATCCACTCAGGTAAGTTCCTAAGCAGTATTTTTAAAGCTGTAAGAAATAATTTCTTAAAAAAAAAAAAAATAAAGTTGACCAAGATAAAGTACATGTATCTGTTTTAAAAAACTCATCTACAATGTCAAAGAACTGAAAATTTAGTTAAGAGCTGCTGGGGCAACTCAGTGTCGAGTGCTGCCATCAGCTAATCACTGATTTGACATAAACCTACCACCACTACCCAGCCTTTCTTATCTACCAAAAGAACTCATCTAAAAGAATCGTACACAAGTCCCCAGACTGAAGAGTCCAGATGTTCATCAGCAGGTTAAGATTAACTGGGTAGTACTTTGCAACGAAGAAGGAAATACAAGGCCAGGGATTTAGCTCAGTGGTTTAAGTGCCTGCCTGGGACACACAAGGTCTTGAGTTCGATCCTGGTTCCCCCTCCCAAAAAAGGAAGGGAATACTGACAATAAAAGAATGTGTGAGGGCTTGATACAGCTCAGTGGCACAGCACCTGCCTGCCAAATGCAAGATCCTGCGTGTAGGTCCTGGTACCAAAATGAACAAAAAAATACATGAATCTTTGACATAATTACGGTAAACAGCCAGATCTCGCCCTCAAAATACATGTACTATTTATAGAAAAACCCTAAAAAATACAAAATAAAACTGCATGAGTGCTTTCCAAGGACAGAAAGGGCAGTTTTTTGTTTGCTGCTAGGGATCAAACTCAGGGCTTCACATAGGACTTGTCTCCAACTTCAAGTGGAAGGTTGCTCTTGTGACATGCAGGGTCTTGTGGTTTTTAAGATTTCTGCCAGGCACAATGCCTGTAATCCCTAATCCCAGCATTTAGCTGTCTGACATAGGGTCTCACTATGTAGTCCAGACCGGCCACTATCTTTCAGTCTTTTCCCAAGTGCAGAGATTATTGCAGGCACACACCACTTGGCCTGGGTTATATTTTTAAATGTTTCCAGTTCATTGGGTGAGGTAAAACACTAGCACATGCCTCTAACCCCAGCTACTCAGGAAACACAGCAAAAGATAAATTCAAGGCCATCATGACCTTGTCTTCAGATAAAACATTTTAAGCGTGAGTGTAGTTCTAGTGAGTGACAGGGTACCCTAAGGCTCAACCAGTATTAAAAACCAAAACCTTGAGCTGGGGTTATAGCTCAGTGGCACAGCACCTGTCTGGCAAGTGCAAGGTCCTGAGTTCAATTCCTGGGATACCCCCGCAAAAGGAATAAACAACAAAACCTTTAATTTTTGCCTAATTGGTCTTTTTCTAGGTGCCACACCACCTTGGATGATTCAGGATGAGGACTACAGCTCTGGGAATCAACAAATAGGACCTTCCTATGAAGAATTTCTTAAAGAAAGTGAGTAACCTGATTTAAAAGGGCAAAAAGATCAGATCTTCACACTTAAGACTTTCCTTGACATTGCAGAGGAGAGACAAAAACTGAAGAAACTGCCCCCAGACCGAGTCGGGGCCAACTTTGATCATAGCTCCAGCACCAGTGCAGGCTGGCTGCCTTCTTTTGGCAGAGTCTGGAACAACGGGCGGCGCTGGCAGTCCAGGTATGGGTCCAGGGCCACCTCTCCTGGGAGGTCTCACCCTTCCTCTTGTTAACCCTTAATTTCCTTTCAGGCACCAATTTAAAACCGAAGCTGCAGCAAGGAACAAACAGCAGCGTCGTAAAGGAAAAAGCTAATCATTCCCAGACGTTTTCCCACAACCAACCCTCACCCACTAATACTCCTGCCACCAAGCCCTGTTATGGAACAGAAACAGACCCGTTCATTTAATAATAAAGTTTTATTTTTTCCAAATGTACAGCTGGTTGAACCTGTTTTAAAGAAAAAGAAAAATCAGAACCAGAGCTTTGTAAGGAGGGAAAACAAAGCTTACCCTGAGCCCAAGTTCTTGCTCACCTGTTCATCATGCATCCTCACCAGCAGCAGGGGCATCTCCACCCTTGGTGTTTCTGGTATAAATAACCTGAGCTCTGTGCTTTGAAACCAACTTGATAAGTCCTAGCAAGACAGGACATAAAATTTTTATATAATAGCACTGAGGTACTCACTGTCTACTAGAAACTAGTTTTCTACCCCCTCCAAAATCATATTGCTTAATTTGAAACAAAGGCAGGTACAATTCTCAATTTTTTTTTTTTTTTAAATCAGGCAGCTAAACATTCAATTCAGGGTCTTCACACTGTGTAGTCCAGACTGAATTTGAATTCTTGGTGATGTGAGTCCTGGGATTACAGGTGTGAGCCCCTATGCCTGGGTTTGTTTTTTTAAAATTGTGTAGAACTACAGCAAACAATGATTATGTACAATTTAATTTTATTGGTGCACTTGATATGCATAATGATCACATTCATCAGGAAATTTGTACTTGTGCACAATGTATCTTGAGTTATTTTTAAAATATGTATGGTTGTAACGGAAATTCTTTCATTTTTATTGATCTATTAAGCTAAACACTGATGAGTCACTAAAGTGAATAGTGTTTTTTAAAAATCCCCCCCCCCCCTTGGGATGATGGGTGGAGGTGAAGCCCAGGGCCTTACACAAGTGCTGTACCACTGTCTGTAACCCTAGCACTCTGGAAAGCTGAGGCAGTAGGATCAAAAGTTTAAGCCCAATCCGAGCAATTTAGTGAGGTAGCAACACCTTGTCCGAAAATTTTTAAAAGGCTGGGTGTGAAGCACAGTGTGAAGGCCCTGAATTGAATATTTAGCTGCCTGATTGAGACTTGTACCTGCCTTTGTCTCAAATTAAGCAGTACAGGCATAGGGGCTCACACCTGTAATCTCAGGACTCACATCACCAAGAATTCAAATTCAGTCTGGACTGCACAGCAAGTTCAAAGCCAGCCTGCACTATACAGACTCTGTCCAAAAAAAAAAAATCCCCACGCTTCCCAGTGAAAGCTCTCAGGATGCATTTCATGATTAAGACGACCGAGCCCCTAAAAACACACATTCTGACACACCTCACCTTTACTAAGGAGCTCCTGAAGGGCTGCCCTGGCCAGTGACCCGCGGATCTTCAGTCTCTCAGAGACCACAGCAGGCGTTATAAGTTTATAGTTGGGAACCTCCTTACAGAGTTTGTCGTAAGTAGCTTTATCAAACAGAACCAGGTTGTTGAGCTTGTCCCGAACTTTGCCTTTGGACCACTTCTGCTCACAAAGAGAAAAAGCTTTGGGGTCAGTAATCCTGGCAAGACTGGCTTTCCTTCCTGTACAGCATGAGTTACAGATCTCTTCACTGTTCTCTCAAAGGCTAAGTTACAGGTTGCAAAAATGAATGCTGCATCACTGGAGCTCTGGAAGATGAGCTGAGACTCAACGTTTTAAAATAACCTGTACACCCATCAAAGTAAACCCTTTTATACACTTATTTCCGCGCCCTTTTAAGTAATGTGTACCACCCTATCCTACCAGGGAGGAAAAAAAAGGGACGACAGAACATTAACTTCAATAGTATGGGTCTGAACCATCTGCGCTCGCCTACCTTCTTTTTGGCCTTGCCCCCGGATTTGTTCACTGGGTCTTTGTCTTTCTTGGCCGACTTCCCGGCATCTTTCTTCTTCTTGTCGTCCTTGGGCGGCTGCGGGGGCAGAGCAGGGACGCACGCCGGTCACCACGCGGCTCCACGCTCGCTGACCGCCCACCTCCCAGCGTCTCCAGGGCTCCCCAGCAGCACACCGGGACAGCCGTCCCCCTGCCGCGCTGAGCACAGCCTGGCGGCCCCCGGCGCCCTACTTTGCTGTGTCGCCTCTCCTGCAGCCCAGGACAGCCAGGATCTAAAAAGCCCCCGGCTTCACATATCCGAAACTTACCATCACGGAGCTCGGAGAGCGGCGGCGACCACGACACTCTCGTCAAGATGTCGGACAGAAAGGAAGCGCTGCTCACCAGCAGGCGCAGAAACCGTCGCCGGCCGCAAGTACTTCCGGGGCAAGGGGCGGAGCCACGAGCCGGAAGTTCGGCGGCGAGGCACTCGCCTTTTCCACGGAAGCAGGGTGGGGAAGTGGGTTCACTTCTCAAGGCGCGGCCCTGAACTCTGTCTTCTAGGTTATTGGACTTTGCCACTAGCAGTAGTCAGATAAGGCTCATCTACTGCTGAGACGTGGAAGACAATTTACCTGGTCCCTGTAACTAAGAAACTTCCAGAGCCTGACGGTAGCCCCGAGTGCGCAAGCGCAAGGAAAAAGCTGGGGCGGAAGCCCAGTACAGTTTTTTGACAGCGCTTCCGAGGCTGGGCCTTCGCCACCGTGACAGCAATGGCAATTTTTAGTGTGTATGTGGTGAACAAAGCTGGTGGCCTGATTTATCAACACGACAGCTACGCGCCGCGGGCTGAGGCTGAGAAAACTTTCAGTTACCCGCTGGATTTGCTGCTCAAGCTGCACGATGAGCGCGTGCTGGTTGCCTTCGGCCAGCGGGATGGCATCCGGGGTGGGTTGGGCTCGGGGGCGGGTCCCGGTGTTTTGGAATTAGACTAGGGTGAAGTTGCCGAGGTGGGGGCAGGTGGGGTGCGCCGCACCCCTTGTGCCCTCGGCGGAGTCCTAGGGCTGGAGCCTTGCTGACCCTTGGCCTCGCCTCTGCAGTGGGCCATGCAGTGCTGGCCATCAATGGCATAGACGTGAACGGCAAGTACACGGCTGACGGGAAGGAGGTGCTGGAGTATCTGGGTAACCCTGCAAATTACCCGGTGTCCATTCGCTTCGGCCGGCCCCGCCTCACCTCCAATGAGAAGCTGATGCTGGCCTCTATGTTTCACTCGTGAGTTTCCTCTCTTCCCGCTGTGTATTGGCCTTGTTGGATTAGTATAGTTCTCTGCATATTTGTGAAAAGAAAAACTCGTCCAGTATGCCCAGACTTTACTTGTCTTGCCTAAGTTGATCTTGCCTAAGTTAGTTTTTCCTCTCTGGGCCTGTTTCTTCATCTTTAGAGTAAAGCAATTGTAAAAAATAAGTAAATAAATAAAATAAGGCAATTGTTGGGGGGAGGAGTTGGGGAGGATACAGCGTGACTGCCAGAGATGAAAATATTCTAAAATATTAGAAAATAACCTAAATTTGGGGGGATGGCTCCCCGAGTTCTTCATATACCCAAAACATTGGATTGTATACTTTAAATAGGTGTACTTGTGGTATGTAAATGGCATCAGTAATATATTTCAGAATTATTACTCCATACACTTGCAAAAATAAGGCAATTGAACTAAACAATCTTTTAAAAAATCTTTTCCTCCTCTCAGCCATGGTCTGAGATGTGCTGGTGTAGGCTTTGCTGCGAGCTAAGTAGGCATGCACATGTTCCCCAGAATATGCATTTTAAGTTTTTGGTGTAAAATATTTCGTAGTAAAATGTATGCAGAAGCCAAATAAATGTAAAAGAAATTTTGATCCTGCTGCCAGGCAGTCCACACTGTCCCCTCACTGTACCAGCCTGTAAAATGAACTGTGCCGAGTGTGGTGGTGCCTGCCTGTGACTCTAGCACTTTGGAAGACTGAGGCAGGATGATGGCTAGATTAAGCCCCCCTGGGCCATTTAGTGACTTAGTGAGACTCTGTCTCAGAATGAATGAACAGATAATGTGCTGGTGGTGCAGCTATGTGCAAAGGCCCAGGGTTCACGCTCCAGTACTACAAAAATAAATAAATGAGGGCCAGGGAGATGGCTCAGGGGCAGAAGTGCCTGCCTGGCAAGCACAGGGTCCTCCAAGCACAGAGTTTGCTTGTGAGTCTCAAATAAATAATCTCAGCAGATTAGGATGACTTCAGTGGAAAAGTCTGAGAAGCACTTTGGGGCGCTTTCCCAGCTTTGCCTCCTTTGCATTATAGGCTGTTTGCCATTGGCTCCCAGCTGTCCCCTGAACAGGGAAGCTCAGGCATTGAGATGCTGGAGACAGACACATTCAAACTGCACTGCTTCCAGACGCTGACAGGTATGCCTGCAGGTGGGCCCATGGGGATGGCTGGGGCTGGCTGCGCCAAGAGTAAAGACGGCTTTGGAGAGCAAGGAAGGAGTGTCAGGTTTCCCCAGAACAGTTATACAGACACAACTATTGTTTGCTTCAAGAATCCAAAGCCGATATTTAGAAAATAACCTAAATCTGAAGCTCATTTAAATCCGTATCACGTGACTGTTCATCCTGGGTTCAGATAAAACTCAGTGATAATGTTGCACATGTATTCCAAAATGAGATTTAAAAAGCCAAACAAAAATGGCTCTTGGGTCATTCCAGCACTTGGGAGACTGAGGCAGGATTACTTCAAGTTTGAGGCCAGCCTCTACTGCCTGCAAGACTGTCTCAAAAAACAAAACGATAAAAGAATAAAATTGCCTTTGGATTGTGTTACTGCCGCTCTCCCTTAATGTAGAGAGTTGAAAACTGCCTGAGTTTGTTCTCTGCTTGTACTGTCTGTGCTGAGGGATTCCAAGACTGAAAGTAAGTGGCAGAACTCAAAGCCTGGTCTCTCAGTCACCTGCGTTAAGTGTCACTGTTTCTCTGACCCCTTCTGTAACTTTGAGGTTTTGCCTTTTCTTCATGTAGCAATGCGGAAAGAAGGGGCTTATGATAGTACTTCATAAAACTGAAAGTACTATAGAAATATAGGATGGCACTGCTTCATGGGGCCTTTGGTAACCAATTTCTGGCTTCTTTCCAGGGATCAAATTTGTGGTGTTGGCAGATCCTAGGCAAGCTGGAATCGATTCTCTTCTCAGAAAAATTTATGAGATTTATTCAGATTTTGCCCTCAAGAATCCATTCTACTCCTTGGAAATGCCCATCAGGTAGGTGGCCTTACTCCCCACAAAGTCATTAGAGGTATGGCAAAATATTACTTTTAGTAAGACAACAATGACTAGCCCTTTGTTTTTGAGGTAGTCTCACTAATGTAGTCTAGGCTGGTGTTAAACTCAAAGTAACCCTCCTACCTTAGCCTCCCAAGTGCTGGGATGACAGGTGTGCACCACCGTGCCCAGCCAACCCTTTAATATTCAGAGAATTTACGAAGACTCTTTTCTTGGAGTTTGTCCGCCAACTGGTCTTTCCACTGACCCTGCCTTTCTGCAGAATGGAGAGAGCCTCGGGTCTCACAAGTGTTTTGTCTTTCTGGCTGGCCTAGGTGTGAGCTGTTTGACCAGAACCTGAAGCTAGCTCTGGAAGTAGCAGAGAAGGCTGGGACTTTCGGACCAGGGTCATAGGCTAGACCTGTATCGGACTTCCAAATTCAGATCCGTCTTAAAGCAGGATTTCCTCGGTTTCTACTCCAACCCAGCAGCCTTGCAGTGCACTTGGAAACGGAAAGTGATGAGCCTGATGACACATACTGATCCCTGAGCCTTAACGCCATGTTCTCCCTTCTGTATATATTGTGGTCCTCCTTCCCAGTTCTGTACAGGTTTATTTATGGAGGCAGTAGGCCCACAAGGGCTGTAATAAACATTCCTCTGATCCAGTGTTTGCTGTCATCACTGATGGTTTTAAGGCAATGCATGGGAGGGAGAGAGAATGGCATGGGAATTCTGAGAAGCGAAGACAGTTTCAGTGTCATGGACATCATCCAGATCTGCTGCTTTCCTGGGCCGAGGTGGCAGTGGTGATGCACACGGAACATCTGCTCAGGACAGCAAGGCTTTCCTGTTTATCTAACTTCATCTTCACCCATCCTCGGGGGTTCATTCTACAGGACTTAGCAAATACGGACTGTGCCCCAGTCTCCAGTGAGTTACTACCCAGCCTGAACTTACGTCCCGTGCTTTCTGACCACACTGCGTCAAAGCACTATCCCATAACCGCCAGGCAAGTTCATTAACCTGCCTGCATTCCAATATGCTTGTCTCTGTAAAACAAACATGCAAATGTCCTGCAAGACAGGTGCCATGAGCTTAAAGGCTTTAGCCACGCTTCCACTTTCCTATTTCAGGGAAATGTGCACATACTGACAAGCTAACGTCCCAAGGAAAGCTCTGGCTTGTTTTACCCCTTTTGAAAGAATGAGTCACTGTTTTGTATCAAATCTAGTTTTAATCCTATAACAAGTCTTCTTAACCCCCCCCCACACACACTCCCCTGTTGTGTCCAGGGAGGGTGCTGGTGAGAGTGGTGGCCTCTCTTCCCCTGAAGACTCGGGTATTAGCAGAAGCTATTGCCCACTGCCGGGAGGCCTCAGGGCATAGCAGAAGTCACAAGTCATTAGTGCCCCTCAGCTGCAGGGAGAGGACAGCCTTGGTTCAGATAAGGATGGGTAAGATGGGGTAGGACAAGGCTTAGGAGATACAAAAGGGTAAATCCACATCCAGTTTCCAGTTTGGAAATGAACTGATTAGCAGAAAATAGCTAATGGAGTCCAAGAACAAAGGTTGTCTTTTAAATAGAGCCTAGGATGGGGAGCTGACACCTCATTAGCCACTGATAACTTCCAGTGCGACCTGGGGGAAAGACGGGATATAGAGCTGGATGCTGAAAGGCTCAGCGCTAGCCAGGGCAGCCCCCCTTGCTGCAGGCCTGAGTGTGCAGGGTAGCCACAGGTGACAGCGTACTCCAGAGCCAGCACTCTTCACTCGGCCTTCTTGGGCACTTGACCCATCTTGGTGCGGATGTTTCGGAGCAGGAAGAAACCAGCTGTAGTGGCTGCACAAATCATTTCCGCCACCCAGAAGGCTGTGCTCCAACTGTAGTGTTTGGCGATGGTACTGAAGGGCAGCCCGGCCAGAAAGCCACCCACTGTCAGAGAGGAGGGGACAGCCTGAGCCCTCGTGAGGGGAAAGCAGGTGGGCTGGCTCTTGCCTCCAGCACGGCAGAGAGGTTACAAGGTAGGTACTCCAGAAAATATCACTTACCATTGGCCATTAGTCCTACAATGGCATGAGAGGTGCCACACAAGTTGGAAGGGGCACATTCATTGGCTATGACTCCGAACAAGGCAATGGGACCATAGGAGGAGAAGCCAAACACAGCACCCAGGAGCAGGATCCAGATCTGCAAGGGCAGCCACATGGGTGCAGTCAGAAAGCCGGCTCCCTACCTGCGTGCCCTGATGGTTTTAAGGCAAGGCATGGGAGAGGAGACTGGCGCTGGGTTCCCAGGAGCAAACAGTAAGGGGGAGACAGTAAATGACCCTCCCCTGTCCTTCCCCATTGTCACAGTACTGAGCCAGAATGGCAGAAGCCCAGGAGCCAGCCCGAGTGGGCGGGCAGGAAGGGAGCTACAGGAGCTGGGCTGGCTGGGGACAGAGATGGGAAAAATCAGGGAAAAACTAGAGATGTGTTTAAGGCACCTCCTGTTCTGTAAAGCCTGTGAGCTCAGCGAGAGGGTGGAGAGCAGGAGTCCAGAAAGCATCTTCCTAGAGGGACAGAGGGAAGAGAAGAAAAGCAGACCCAGAGTGGAGGAAGGCGACGAAGACAAAGAAGAGCCAAGGGGCAAACAGGACCGCAAATGGAAATCGGAGGCAGGAGGCAGGAGGCCTGGGCCAGGCAGCAGCAGGGCGATGGTGGCAGCCTGGCCTGCTTTCTCTCCTTGTGCTCTGCTGTGGCCCGCGCTCTCCGTATTTACCTTGGGGGAGTCGCTGGTCACCGTTACCCGGAAGAGGTACATGGACGCAGTCATGCCAGCCATCATGAACAGCAGCAGGCCATGGCGCGGGTTCCCGTAGGCAGACAGCCCCGCCTGTGGGGACAGGCCCAGGCACAGTGGGTCAGACACCCACTGTGGACTCTTTCTTTTTTATCGGTACCGGGGATCAAACTCACGACTGCCTGCTTGCAAGGCAGGTGCTTATGCCGCTGAGCTACCCCCCCCCCACTGTGGACTCTTGACACAGGAGGGCCTCTGCTGTCAGAGCTTTGGCAATCACATCACAGTTCTTGGCTCCAGACAGCTGTGCGTGGCCCTGAGAGCTCCTCACGTCCTGAGGCCAAATTCCACACCCTCTCCACCTTGGCACAGGCCTGGAACACGTGCTGGGGAGCTGCACCCAGGCTACCACCACCCCCAGTTTTCCTGGAGCAGCAGAGAAGCCTGCAGCCAGGCTGAGAGAAATTCTCCCTGAGCTGTTAAAACCCCTCTCCAACAGCGCTATCCCCATGTCCCCAGGGAAGGTAATACCCCCCCCCCCAACCTAAACCCGAATACGCCACCAGGCCTTTCCCAGCGCTCCCATTACTCCAAGCTGCCTCGGCCACCCTGGAAGACCCCAGGGACTCTTCCCTCTCCTGTCTGCTCACCTTTGCCATGGCTCGGTCTGACAAGTAGCCAGCAGCGATGCTGCCCACAAGGCCCCCGACCTCCAGGGCACTCATGTAGGAGCTACCTGCAGTAGGGAGTTGTGGGCAAAGGGAAAGGCAGGGTAGAAGGCTGTCCCACAACGGAGGTCCAGAGCCACAGCTGCCTGAGTACTGCCCAGCCTCAGGGAAAAATAAACACATAAAGGGAACGTGGCCTGGGTGTCTCATCTCCTGCCTGGGTTCCTGCGTTTATGCCCTGGTAGTCATCTTACCCACGAGAGCGGACTGTCCTCTCTCCTGGATAAGGAAGAACTGGCCCCAATCTGTGCAGCAAGTCTTTACTCCAAACACCACAAGGTAGCCTGTGGAGAGCACCCACAGGTAGGGGGACAGGAGCAGCTCCCGCAGGGTACTGTCCTCTTTCGAGGAACCTGGAAGTGGGATGAGATCAAGCCTCAGGCTCTGCCCTTGGCACCCTGTCCCCCACCACTCATTAACCCTCATTAAGAGGGGCAGAGTCCACGGGCATAGCCAGCTCCAGGGGTATCCCCTTACACCCCGCTGGCCAGCCCCACTGCAAATCTCAACAAATGAAGAAGCAGAACGAGGGCAGATGGAGGAAGGCACCCAAACCACTTAGGGTGTGCTCTGGGACAGGGGTCTGCTGCCGCAAAGAGGGACAGGCTATGACGGGAGTCCCGCACCTGCTGGCTGGCTCCCCGGAGTTCTACTTATTCCCCACGCACCTTCCACGGCTACTCCTTCCTTACATTCCCTGGCCAGCATAGGACAAGGTTTAACTGTAGTCCTCAACAACACCCTGACAAGAGCAGTGCAGAGCCAGGTGCCCACAGCTGGCCTGGGTGGCGGCTCACCCTTCTTGCCCTTGGAGGGAGTAGGGTCCAGGTTGCGGAGTCCAACGTCAGCAGGTTCATTGTGGATGAGCAGGAGACAGAGGAAGGAGACAGCCACACATAGTGTCCCAGATAGAGCCAGCGTGGTGCGCCAGCTGTAGCTCTGGGCAAGGATGGTGGCCAGGATGGGGCCCAGCCCTCCGGCCAGGTTCATGCTGGCTGACAGGATGGCCCACCAGGTGCCAAACTGAGATGGCTCAAACCACTGTGAGGCAGAGGGGGAGAGAGTGGGTGCCAGGCCGCCAACACGCACGGAAGGCCACACTCACGTCGGGGAGACTCAGAAGCTCACATTACAGGGCCAAGGGAGAGGGTGCGTCTCCTTGGCAGGGCCAGTTCCCTCAGCTGCCACCTCATCCTCCCACTTCCTAAAATATCTTGACAAGCAATAGGAGCTGGCTGGGAACTCCTGAGGAACCTGCTGCGGGGGTCAGAAAGGGTGCTCCCGCATGCACACTAGGTATCCTCTATGCTGCGGTGGCAAACCTATGGCACACGTGCCACAGCTCTAAGAGGTTCGCCGTCACTGCTCTGTGCCACCCAGCAGGCTTGTTGGAAGCACTCACCTTCCGCAGGATCTTCCCACAGGGGGGCCAGCCCAGCCCCTGTGCCAGGCCATTAAGGAACCAAAGAGCGGCAAAGACAGGTACTGTGGAGCTCCAGGAAAAGACTACATTGACCAGGCCAACCAGGAGCAGCCCGGAGCAGAAGAGCCAGCGAGCACTCATCTGGTCGGACAGCACCCCGCTCACAAACTTGCTGATGGCATAGGCTGCCGACTGGCTGCTGGTGATGAGTCCTGAGGGGAGCAGGGAGCAGGACACCTGGGGGGTTAGGGTAGGGCAGAGGCACAGGAGGGGTGGAGGAAGGCATGGGGTCAGGTGTGTGGAGGAGCCCCGCAGGGTACGACAGGGTCTTCCCTGAGAAACAAAGAGCCTGAACTGCGCTGGATGCTGCCTCTGCTAGCGCTCCATCCAGCCCAATTAGATTTCTCCCCTGCTAGAGTCCAGCTGCGGCTGCAGAAGACGAAAAGGAAGCAGTTTCTCTCTACGCGAGTTGCATGTACCTGAGCTCCCGCCTCACCCCAGGTGCCCTCCGAGGCATCGGGCAGCTCTGTGGCCCCACCTCTGAACATGGGCTGAAGGCCTTCGGGACTGGAAGGGATCTTGTTCCTCCTGAAGGGTAGCATGCCAGGCCACCTGAAACCACCAGCTTCCCAGCACTCCCTGCGTCAGCAGCCAGCACTCCTGCAGCCTCAACGTGCACCCACAGCAGAGAAACCTTGCCCAGAGCCCCCCAGACAACACGACCACTGCTTGTGCAGAGGGAGGTGGATGGGGGCAGATTCACACCAGACAAGCACCCTCCTCAGTCCGTTCCCCACACTCTGGGGCGCACAGTGACTGGCTCAGCCCTGCTGTGCAGACCCTGCACACTGCATGCCTGTGCCCTGCGCACTGTCACGCTTGGTGTGACCTGTGACTTCTGGGTCCCAGGATCCACCACCCTACCCTTTAGGGCTCACCCAAATCATCCTTGTCCAAAGGGATCTCGTTCACCAGTGCTGGCATGACAAAGGAGAAGGTCTTGCGGTTGAAGTAGTACAGGCTGTAGCCCCCAAACATGGCCGAGAAGATCACAGTGCGGTAGTAGCCATAGCCTTGGCCTGCCATGGTGGGGAAGAGCAGGTCCCGCCAGGCAGGACGCACAGCCTCTGAGCGGGCTCCTGCTGCGGCTCTCAGTGCCCAGATCTGCTGAGTTGTCTTTTTTCAGCTCCCTCCTCCACTCAGCCTCCCAGGCTCCCTTTATAGCTGCCTTCTGGACAATTATTAAGCCTGGGGCCTCTCCTAGGGAACCCAGTGTCCTAAGAGAGAGAAGAAAACACATTACTGACAGCCAAACTGCCGGGTTGGGAGGGGGCTCCCAGAAAGAGGCAGGCCAGCCTGTTCAGCCCCCCTTGTTCCCAGGATTTCTGCTTTTCCCTCCTTTTCCACGTCTGCCTGCCTGGGAAATCAGCTGTGATTAAAAGTTCAACCTAATTACTTTTATTCGCAGGCGCCCAGGGGAGGCAGGGGGAGACAGCAGAACAGCCCTCTCCATCCAGCCCTGCTTCCTCAGTCATCAAACCTTATTCACTCCGGGAGGGCTACTGAGGGCTTCCTGGTGGCCAGGCACTGCATAATCACTAGATCACACACTCTCCCTCCCTCCTTCAGGAGGGCATAATGTTCCCGCAAGCGCAGCGCCAAGCCTCCTAGAGCTGACCTCACTCAATGCTTAGCACACAACAAGGCTCCTACGGGGCTACGTGGCCCCACTCCTCCCAAGGACAGCAGCATGCATATATATATAGATCATTCTATGAATACTAATTTTATTATACACACCTATGGTAACAGTTGTAAGTTAGGCACAGGAAGAGATTAACAACATAGCAATATACTTCAAATGTATGAATTCTTTATTTCTGGAATTTTCCTCTTCATATTTTACCACTCCAGTTGACCTCAGTAACTTGCACCAAACCGCGGATAAGCGAGGGCTCCGGTAGTCGCAGAATGAGAAGCAGGGAGAAGCCCCCCCCACTTGGCCCCACAGCGTCACGCCGAAAGCTCCACGCGGGGCCGAGGGCTCAGAGCTGCCTCGGGGTCCCCACGGCCCGGCGAGGCGTCCGTCTGCAGGGGCCCGGGCCGGCGAGCGCGGGAGAGGCTGCGCGCCCCGCTTCCCAGGCCCGCGGCGCGGCCGGCCTTTCCGCTTGGCCGGGCGCAAGTGGAGCAGAAGGCGCGGGCGGGCGGGCACACGTAGGCGGCCTGGCAGAGGAGCCCGCGGCGAGACACGGAGGGCACCTGGCCAGCGCGTGTCCTCCGGACCCAGGCTCGGCGGCGGCACAGAGGCGGGCTACGCGGGCTGCAGGCGGGGTCAGCGCCTCGGCGGCCCCAGGCCCAGGAACTGCCCCCACCCCAGGAGGGGCCGCGGCAGAAACAGTCCCGGGTTCTCCAGCCGGGTAGCCCAGCACCCGAGGCGCGCCGCCCGCTTTCCCCCAACGCCCCTCCGCCGCCCGCCCCCCTACCTGGGCTGGGCGGGAGGCCGATTAACGCGGGGCGGGGCCAGCCGGCTGGCGCTGCGCATGCGCTGGGGATGAGGGCGGGGTCTCCGCCAGGACCTTCCCACCACCCCCGAGCCGGTCCTCCTGTCCTTTGCGATGCTCCTAGCACGGGGGCAGCGCCCCCTAGAGGCTGGGTAACATAGGTCCTTTTTTTTTAATCGGTACCTGGGATCTAACTCACAACTGCCTGCTTGCAAGGTAGGTACTTATGCCGCTGAGCTAAATCCCCAGCCCCTAGGTCCATTTTTTTTGATGCAGTATTTTGCTATGTAGTTCAGAGATCCTCCTGCTTCAGCTTCTCCAGTAGTGGCATTAGGAGCATGTACTACTATGCCTGGTGAGATCCACTTTTTTTTTTTTTTTTGTCTTTTTAGGACAGTTTCACTATGCATTTCAGGCTGGCCTTGAACTCCAAGCAATCCTCCAGCCTCTGCCTCCCAAATTACAGGCGTGTGCCACCATGCCTGATCCTTAGGTCTACTTTTTAAACAATTTCATTCGACAAATCAGTTTCTAGTGAGTACCTCCCACTACCAAACACACGTGGAATAAATACTAAATAATCATTGTTCCCAAAGATTTCCCAAGTCTGGGTAAAGTCTTGAAGGACTAGAGCATGGCCTGTACAAAATAAATGCAGTTTTCAGCACAATTTGAAATATTAATCTGTAGTCAGACTTCATAGCAGAGATAATATAATCATAGTGTTTAAAGGACAGGGCCTTAAGTAAACCTCAAATGTGAATCATAACTCCTCTCTGTTGGTTTTTTCTATACAGGTGACAGGCCCTGGGGTGCTCTACCAAAGGCCTACATCCCCAGCCCCCGTCTGTTTTTTTATTTTGAGGCTGAGTTTTGTTAAGTTTCCTAGACTGGCTGGGAACTTGTGATCCTCCTGTCTCAGCTTCCTTAATAGCAGCCATGTCTGACTTTTGTCCCCACTTCATCCTGTAGGCCCCTCTTTTTATTTTTACTTTTATTTTTAATCTCCAACACCACACACATAGTTTGTTTTAAGGACTCAATATATGATGTAGAGGAGAGCTCAGAAAATTTACATTAGAGGTCTCCACAACATGGCTTTCATCCGTTAAGCTGAACTCAAGACAGATCTCTAAAATAACAGAATTTTTGTATCATTATATATTGGCCAGAAAAGGACTCATCCTGCAACCAATTCCTGCACCACCACAGCAAGACTAGGTAACAGTTGGGAAAATATTTGCTAGATTTAAAAAGCCAAAGTAGCTTTTTTTTTTGTCTTTTTTTGAGATACAGTCTTGAAGTTCAAACTAGCCTTGAGCTCATTTGTAACCTAGGCTACTCTCGAACTCACAATGATCCTTCTGCCTCAACTTCCTGAGTGCTAGGATTACAGGCTAAAACTGGAGTATCTTAAAATGAAAATTTGGAATGAAAAAGCATAAGTAAACAAAGTGGGTGGTGCACACCTGTAATCCCAGCACTACAAAGACTGAGGCAGGAGGATTGCTGTGAGTTTGAGGCCAGCCTGGGCTACATAGTGAGACTCTGGTTCAAAAAAAACAAAAGCATAAATTGTTTAGTTGAACCTACATCAGCCGTACCTAAGACAGGTAGAACAACCCAAAACAGGCAAAGTTTGCGGGTAGAAGGACAAGTTACAAGAAATACCGGTTACTGCTGAGTTGGGGTGGCTGGGGCTCTGGCAGAACTGAGGTCAGGTTTCAAGGTGTGTTCAGGACTGTGGAGCAGTTTTTGTTAATTTGGCTTAAAGATGTTAGCTGATTAACTTCTCTTATCGATCTCCTCCTCCATCCTCTTGCTTTGTAGTTGAATTTAGGGCACCTCCGAATTTTTTCTTTATCACATGGGTCCCACAGAAGAAGGCCTGAGAGGACTGTGTGATAGCTCGGACCCCGGAATAAAACCCAAGGAAGCAAGAAATTAAAATTTGGGGAGCAAAGGCTTTATTTTAGGCCAGGCCTGGCGTCACAGTCTCCAGGAGCCAATTTGGAGACTGCGCACCTCACCGCTAAGGGAAGTGGCTTTTAAAGTTAAAAACCACAGGAATGCTGTAACTGTTGACACAGCTAGATAGCAGTTGGGCCTTACAGAACTTCCTATAATTTCTTTGAGGTTAAGTATTTCTTAAAGAGCAGCACAATTAGCACATTTTATGATAGACCACCACTGGGTAGGGAAGGGGGTTACCAGAAACTGAAACCTAAGGCCTTTATGGCTGTTCAGGGAATTGAAACTTACCTAGATAGATAGGGAGGGGGAAGGGGGAAGGGGAGGCAGTACAGCTGCAATATGGCTTTTTTTGTGGGGGGGGGGGACAAGATCAGGTAAGGGTTGTGCTAACAAGCCAGTCTCCCTGCATACAAGCAAGTTCCCCTTTAAACAAGTTTAAATTAGGAAGCATCCTGGTTTCCTCAGCCAAGAATAGAGAAGTCAAACAGTAATTAACAACCCCTGTTAGCTTATTTTGTCACCACCTCTGTTATTTGTAGAGGGCAGCAATGGTTAACATATCAATTAGGTAAGATTTTACAATTCTTTACAGAGGAAAGCATTGATTAACATATCAATTAGGTCACCCAGAGGGAGAAGGAAAACATATACATGATATGGCCCTGTTACAGGTAATTTGCTATAATACAACTATAACGGAGCTATTTTTCTTAGACTACAACAGATTGTAAGTATTCCAAACCTGAGAGCAAAGATCTTTCAGATTCTAGAAACGGATGCTGGAAGGCAAAAGTCAGAGATAAGATCAAACCATACTAATCACCATGGGAACAGTGGAAAAAGGATTGTGAGCCTTTAACCTGTTACTCATTAGAAGTATGATTTGAGCTGGGCTGGTGGCATATTCTTGTAATCTTACTACTCTGGGAGGCTGAGGCAGGAGGATCACAAATTCAAATCCAATCCTGAGCGATTTAACCAGACCTTGTCTCAAAATAGAAAAAGAAAAAGAGCTGAGGTTGTAGCTCACTACAAAAGGTTTTAATCTCCAATACCACACACACAAAAAAATTGTTTAATTTATTTTTTAGAAGCTCAGGTCATTATTTTGCACAATGTCCCCCAGTATGGATTTGTTTTTGCAATAAAAAATCATGCTATCAGAGGTGTGGGGATGGGGAAAAATAATTCAGATGTGTTCTGTATCCCTACCAATTCCCCAGAGTGAATGTAATCTTCATGTGCTATGAATATGTATTAATGAAAATTTTAAATTTAAAAAATTAATCTATGGGTCTCTAATAAAATGTATATACATTTTTTTGTAGCAGGGACTGAACTCACAAATGCACCCTTGCCAGGCAGGCACTTATGCTGCTGAGCTAAATCCCTGGCCCCTAAAATTTTTTAAAAATTGGGCCAGAGATATAGCTCAGCAGCACAGTGTCTTCCTAGCGTGTGAAAGGTCTTGAGTTCAATTGTTGGTACCAAGAAAAATTAAATTAAATGTTAGAAAAAAACAATCATGCTAAGAGCCTGTAATTCCAGCACTCAGAAGGCTGAGACAGGAGGATCACCATGTGTTTGAGGCCAACCTAGAATACATAGCGAGATCCTGTCTCAAAAAAACAAAAGCTAAAACAAAAAATCCTAGTCTAATGCTCTTTCGCCCAGTGGTTTTATCATTCATTGATGATTCTTTTTTTTCTTTCTTTTTTTTTTTTTTTTTTTTTTTTTTGTCTTTTTCCTTTTTCCTTTTTATCGGTACCGGGGATCGAACTCACGACCGCCTGCTTGCAAGGCAGGTGCTTATGCTGCTGAGCTAAATCCCCAGCCCCCATTGATGATTCTTACCTGAACCTTTTTTTCTTTTCTCTCGCTCTCTTTTTTTCAGACAGTGTCTCACTGGCCTTGAATTTACTGTGTAGCCCGGCCTGGCCTCAAACCCTTGGTGACCCTCCTGCCTCGGCCTCCCAAGTGCTGGAATTACAGTTGTGCACCACCATACCTGGCTAAATTGAAGTTACTTAAAATTTGACAGTGTCCACACTAAAAAGGACTATGTCCCATGTACAACTGTACCCAGTTAGGGTTCGGAAAGAACAAATTCTCTGTAAAATGCACAGCAATCAGAGACAAATTCTCTGTAATTTTTTGAACAAATCCTCTGTAAAATTCACACCATCTAAACACTGATATCTTGATTTTTTTGATTTTTTTTTTGTTATAGCATAATTTTTTTTCCAGTACTGTTTTGGGGAGTAAACATAGTGCCCTGCACATGTTAGGCAA